GGGGTTTGTGTTGGCGCCCGGAGCGGCGCAACTCGGGAACATTGTCTGACTGTTCGGCATCAGTCTGTGACGGTTGAGCTGGCATAGTGTCACCAACACTCTCTCTGGACTGGGCATCCTCGGAAACCACCGGGTTGGTTTCTGGAGTCAAACTCTCGTGGGTTGGATCCGGCTGATCAACTCTCTGGGCGCTGTTGTCCGGGTTTGGGCTGACCGGAACGACCGCTGGCGCAGACTGGTCACTGGGTGCGATGTGGCTGGGTGGCGGATGGGACGGTTCCCCTTCGACTGGAGACTCTGGATCCTTGTTTGCGAGGTTGCTGAGGCGCCTTCTGAGTTGGTCTATGTGTCTCCTCCAGACGCGACCGTCCTCTAGCCTGACTCTATATGATCTCGGCCCGGTGACGGCGATGACTTCGCCCGGAATCCAAAGTGGGTCCCCAGCGAAATTCCTGGCGAATATCGGCTCCTGTAACATAAAATGTCTAACCCCCGAAGTGGAAGCGAGGGGAGAGTCAGGGCAGTATTGTGGGTGCAGTCTATCCAATACAGTCCTCAGGCGTCGGCCCATCAGAAGTTCCGCTGGGGACTTGTTGGTGACTGCACAGGGGGTTGAGTGCTGGCTCATCAGGAACCGTGAGAGTTTGTGGTGCCAGTCATCTCTGCCAAACCTAGCGAGGGCCTCTTTGGTGGTCCTGACGGCCCTTTCAGCCAACCCATTACTCGCAGGGTGGAATGGGGCTGTTAAAATGTGGCGAATGCCTAGGTTGGCTGCAAAACGGCTGAATTCTACTGATGCGAACTGTGGGCCATTATCGGAGACCAAGGAGTCGGGTAGTCCATGGGTAACGAACAGGCGCGTTAACGCGTTGGTGATTGCTAGTGTGGTGGTCGTGGATAGCAGTGCCACGTCTATCCACTTGGAATAAGCGTCCACGACCACTAGGAACATCTTTCCATGCACGGGGCCGGCCAGATCGATATGGATTCTAGACCAAGGGGCGCTGGCGCTCTCCCATCTGGTAGGGGTGGCGATGGGGGGAGCAGGACGGGATTCCTGGCAAATGCTGCAGGAACTTACCCAATTGACAATGTCCTCGTCTAGACCCGGCCACCATACGTAGCTGCGTGCCAACGCCTTCATTCTCACAATGCCGGGGTGTCCCTCGTGCAACGCCTCCAGGACTCGGGTACGCAGCGAGGTCGGAATGATCACTCGAGTGCCCCACAGTAGACAACCCTGCAAACTGGACAGCTCCTGCATGCGAGTCTTAAAGGGTGCGAATTTGTTATCAACATTGCCTCCCGGCCACCCCCTCCTCACCCAGTCGAGCACCTGGGCGAGCGTTTGGTCTGCCTTGGTTTTGGCGGCGATGTCAAGGGCGGTGATGGGCAGGTCCAACTGGGTGATTTCAAAAATGGCATTGACAGGAGCTGGGTCTTCAGCCGGAGCGGGTAAGGGGCAGCGACTGAGTGCGTCAGCATGGGATAGAGTTTTGCCCGGGCGGTGGATAAGTTTGTATGAGTAGGCCGCTAGAAAAAGCGTCCACCGTGTCATCCGAGGGGAGAGGACTTGAGGTGTCTGTTTGTCGCCGGCCAGTAGGCCCAGGAGGGGTTTATGGTCGGTGACCAGTTCGAAGAAGTGGCCAAAAAGGAATTCGTGAAACTTTTTCACGGCTGCAACAGCTGCTAGGGCTTCCTTGTCTATTTGGCTGTAGTTTCGCTCCGTGGCCGAGAGCGTCCTGGAGAAAAAGGCGATGGGGGCTTCGGCGCCATTGGCGAGTCGGTGACTAAGGACCGCCCCAATTCCAAAAGGGGATGCGTCTGCTGCCAGTACTAAAGGAAGGTTGGGGTCGAATTGGATGAGCACTGCCTCTGACGTAAGTAGTGATTTGACGGCGTTAAACGCCTGGTCTTCTTTGTGCCCCCAGTGCCACGGTGACTTTTTGTCTAGTAATCTGTGTAGGGGTTCGGCTACTGAGGCTTTATGGGGCAAGAAGGATGCATAAAAGTTTAGGAGTCCCAAGAAAGCTTGTAGCTCCGTTTTGGAGGTTGGTGTGGGAGCTTCGTGGATCGCCCTGACCTTGGACTCCAGGGGGTGAATGCCAGAGGCGTCAATTTTATAACCCAGAAAGTCCACCTGTCTAGTGGCAATGGCGCATTTTTCTTTTTTTAACTTGAGGCCATGCTGTCTGAACCTCTCTAACACTGCTCGCACTCTCTGGAAGAGTTGGGGTCTGTCCCTGGCCGAGACCAAGATGTCGTCGAAGTAGGGTACTACACCAGGGAGGCCCTGTAAAATCCGCTCCATGAGGGATTGAAAAATGCCCGGGGCAACACTTACGCCAAATTGGAGACGCTTGCATCGGAAGGCACCCCTGTGAGTGACGATGGTCTGAAGTTCCGCTGTTTGGTTATCAACAGGGAACTGTTGATATGCTTGAGACATGTCCAATTTAGCAAAAATACTGCCCGGTTCGAATGTATGCGCTAACTTGTAAATATTTATTGATTGTTGTCTTGTAGTCCGAGCAAATTCTCAGGCTACCATCTTTTTTTAGGGGTGTGACAATGGGCGTCTCCCACTTGGCGAAATCTGTTGGCTCAATGACCCCTTGTTTTAGTAGTTTATCCAATTCAGCGTCTAGTTTTGGTCGAATAGCAAATGGAACCCTACGTGGTTTTAATCTGATTGGGGCTGCCTGGGGGTCAACGGTGAACGAGATGGGGGTTCCATTATAACACCCCAGCTCCTCGCTGAACACATCTGCGTAGTCAGCGAATAAGGAGTCAGTGTCTGAGGTTGAGACAGCATGGACTCCTGTTAACCCTAGGCCGAGGTGGGGAAACCAATCGAGCCCCAATAAGGTGGGTAGGTTGCCGTTAACTACCACTAGAGGTAGGTGGCCTTTAAAAGCTCTAAAACTGACAAAGAACTTGCCTCTGCCGATCACGGGAATGGCCTTCCCCTGGTAGTCCTTCAGACCGAACTGGCATCTCTGAAGCCGGGTAGTAGATAGGCTGGGGTGGAGTCTCTTGAGGGTGTTCCACGAGATTATTGAGAGCGCTGACCCTGTGTCAACCTCCATGTGGCACGGTTTACCTTCTAGGGAAACGGAGAGAGAAATTTTACTAACAGAGTGGCAAGTACGCCTGGCAAGGCGGTGCGTGCGACAGTTTAATACTTGCCTCTGTGGTCCCGAGTGCGAGGACGGGGGTCTTTGTGCAGCGCTTTGGGGGGCTTGGCAGACTCTCGCAATGTGCCCCCTCTTATGGCAGTTGTTGCAAACGGCTCCTTTAAACTTGCAGGTGGCCCTTTGATGTGATCCCCCACAGGCTAGGCACAGGGTGATGTGCTTGGGTGGACTGGTGTATTCTTGTTTGGCCCCTACCTGCGACCGTCTGTCATTGGTGAGGCGATGGACATCGTTCTCATCGTTGTGGCCTTCCTCCGCTTCCACCTCTTCGGAATGGACTGGGAACGCTGCTAGCTTGGCGCTTGGGCCCTGAATTTCGGTGGCTGAGTTCGTAGCTAGCTCGGCTGCTAGGGCCTCCTCTACCGCTTGCGCGAGGTTGAGGTCTTTCTTAGCTAGCAGTCGTCTCTGTAGGTTTAGATCCTTGACCCCACAAACCAATTGATCGAGGAGCATGTCCTCTAGGTATGTTCCAAACCCGCAGTGCAGGGCTGCTGTTCTGAGGGCGGCCATATATTGGTTGATGGTCTCCTTACTTGATTGCTTTCTCATTCGGAACGTGAACCTCCTGGCGATTTGTGAAGGTCTGGGAGCGTAGTGGTTTGTGAGGATCTCAAGCAACTCGGACCACGGAACGTTTTTTAATTCTCTCGGCGCCACGAGTGCTGCAGCGGTATCGTAAACGGTGGCTCCGCAGTAGATTAGGAAATAGGATTTTTTCCGATGCTCTCCCGCATCCGACAGGCCGACCGCATCGATGTAATGATTGAAACGGTTCTTATATGATTCCCACTTCTCTTCGTCTGGTTTAAACGCCGGGAATACTGGATTGGAACTCATGGTGCTGGAACGGCTGGGCTACCTGCGGGAGAAATCTCTCTGGGACTACGAACGCTCGTGAGTTACAAGTGATATCAGCTCTGGAGAGGTTTTTTGCTACCCTCTCTTTCTTTCTCTCTGGGTTACCACGTTGGCTGCTAGCCGTTGGAGGTGTCTTGATTCGCGCCCAAAAGTGGGCGTTAGTGACTCTCTACAGCGCTGTGCTGTGATTCCTACTGGCCCGAAATTCAAATGACACCCGTTTGAATTTCGCGCCAAATGCAGAGCGGCTGCGGCTTGCAGCGCTTCACTTTCCCCGTAGCGTGGCTAACAAGCGGCTACAGACGCTTCTAACTATTTGACTCAGACCGCTTTCTCTGGCTGCGGATCTGCGTTTGCTCTTTTTGATCGCTCGTTTCGCTAGCTGACCGCTCTCTCTGGCTGCGGATCAGCGTTCCCCTGTTACCAACCGATCGCTCTCTCTGGGCTGTAGATCGGTGGCTAGTGACTCAGCGGTTGCAAGGTGCTTCTGGTAGCCATCCCACCCTCGTCGCCAGTGTTAAGTTTGAGCAATGAGAGGCTGAACCAGAGCGTGAGTGCAACAGTACTTTATTTACAAATAAAGGGCTGACCGTGCTTGCCAAGCCTGGAACTGGCTCGCAGCAATCAGCAGCCAGTTGGACCCCGCAGCCTGCTTTTATAGCTGGCTGCTGGGGAGAACTGACCAATGGGAATGGGGGAAATAACGCCCACACAAGTGAGTGGACCTGAGTGAGAACTCCTTGAGTCCTCAGGACATAACAAAATAGGTCAGCAAGAAAGTGTGTGACAGACACCAGATTCTGAAATAACATACCCTGTAAGGTTACTTTTACTTATTTTTATTTATTTGTATCCCACCTTTATTATTTTTTTATGAACAACTCAAGGCAGCAAACATATCTGATACACCTTCCTCCTCCTATTTTACTCACAACCACCCTGTGAGATGTGTTAGGCTGAGAGAGAGTGCCTGGCTCAAAGTCAACCAGCTGTCTAAAGTCGGACTTGAACTCATGGTCTTCCACTTTTGAGCCTGCTACCTAACTGCTACACCAAACAGGCTCTGTAAGGTTATATTTATTTATTGCCTTGATACCAAGCCATCCATTTGCAAATACTTAACCTATTTTAGGAAGGACCTAGAAAAAACCCTCTCCAAAGAGACTATTGAGAAGCAGAGAAAAAGAGATTGATTACAGCAAAAGACTACTCTAATTATACTATACTACAGTATATACTATAATATATACCAAAATATAATATATGGAAAAGGACTACTATAATATATACTCAAATCTCTGGCATCTCTAGTTAAATCTTGCCATTTGAAATGCTAGAAAGCAAATCGTGTTTGAGGTCCAAAGTTAATGGCACGGACTCTTTAACATCGCATGACCTACTAACCGCAAGGGGACAGGTTATATAGCTAGGGATATAGCTAAGTGAATTAAGGCCTTAGTCTTCCTTACTTTGCCTTTTCTTTTGTCTATGAAATTGCTAATCTGGGGTTACTTCCTTCTGCTTTTATTCCCAGGTGCTCTTGTGACTCAATTCCTGGCTGGGTGTAGCTAATTAGGTGTTAGCCTTTGCCTTTCCCTATAATGTAATTCCTGGAAATACATTTCCTTTCTGTTGCAGTTAGATCTGCTTCGTTGACCTTTGCTCAGGTTACATCCCAGCTATCAGAAACCCTTAGAGAGAACTTTTCAAGCTGCAACAAATCAATATAGAAAATAAAGGACAGAGGGTAAAATAGTCTGGTTCGATAATAGAAGGCAGTGGTTTAAGCCACTCCCTTATACCATCTCTCTGGATTGGTCTGCCCTCTTGAAGTAGTTCCCAAGAACAAGCTTGGGATTTTAGCTCCTGGAATGGCTGTTGGTGGGAAATTCTAAAATAAAAAATAAAAAAATCCACACCCCCGTGTTCTAAATACATTTGAATGGTCCTGAGATGAGAATGATTGAGATAAATTAATATTAAATTTCAGCCAGAAGGAATATTGCCCAGTGACAGATATGGACTGACTAGGATGATTTATAGAAGAAAAGAACAAACCCAGCAACATTGTCTTTAAGGAAAGTGTGAAGAACAATGGCATAGTGATCCCAGAGTGGTGTAACATTTAACACACAGTGGGCAACTTCCATGTTGGAGCTTGTGCAGAGGGCAGAGAAGAACGAGAAAGGTGATTAGGGGACTGGAGGCTGAAACAAATGAAGAACAGTTGCAGGAATCGGGTATGTGATGTCTAGCTTAATGAAAAGAAGGACTAGAATAGAACAGAATACTTTATTGGCCAAGTGTGGGTTGGATACACAAGGAGTTTGTCTTGGTGTAAATACTCTCTGTAAACATAAAAGAAAAGATACATTGTCAGGAGTCGAGAATCATAAGGTACTTAATGATAGTCATAGGGTACAATAAGCAATCAATCATACTAGGAAACAATCAATATAAATCATAAAGAAACCATTAGAGAGCATTTCACCGAGGCAGCCGACATCGGTGCCATCTGAGCACTAAAGGTGACCTGATAGCAGTGTTCCAATATTTAAGGGGCTGCCACAGAGAAGAGGGGGGTCAACCTATTCACCAAAGGACCTGAAAGCAGGTCAAGAAGCAATGGGTGGAAACTAATCAAGGAGAGAAGCAACTTAGAACTAACTAAGGAGAAATTTCATGGCAATAAAAACAATTAGCCAGTGGAACAACTTGCCTCCAGAAGTTGTGGGTGCTCTAACACTGAGGGCAAGAAGAGATTTGTTAGGAATGATAGTCACCTAACAGTTGGGTTGGAAATATATAAACCAGGATAGTAATTTAATACTGTATCTTTAAGAGAATGCTGTAATTGTGATTGGCTGAGGTTCCTCCAATGGCCATAAGATGGAGCCAGAAACCTGGTTTCTTTCTCCTTGCATTTCCTGTTTTGCAGTATTGCCTGATCATTGTTCTGCTCGTATTGCTGTGAGTCTTGCAACTGTTAGCAAACTCCATTTACTGAACTTCGTTTATGATACTTGACTTCATTTTTTGGATTATCCCTGAACTGATTGTATTGAATACTACCTGCTTTAACCATGTATGATTTGGACTGTTTGTTGGACTTTGTTTACCCATTTAAGGAAGTAAAACTTATATTTTACTATTAGTGAATCTGTATGCTGGTTGTGTGTTATTCCTCATCACTCTCACTACATTTCCCTGAGTGCACTCATTTTCCTAACAGGGAATATCACAACAAGATTGGAGAACCATTTGTCTGAAATGGTATAGGGTCTCCTGTGAGAAAAGGTGAACTACTAGAAGGCTTCCAGGAGCTCTTCCAACTCTGCTTTCTGTTTATGTAGGAAACAGATCTGGCCTGTAAAAATGTTGGATTTCTTTATTCCTTTGCTTCCATCTGGTGGTCACTTCAGATTTTTAAAAAAAGACCAGCTATTGTTGTGTCTGCGCAGCCACAAACACAGAATAACCTGCCGTTAGTAGAGTGGAAAATACAGTTATTTAATTGGCTAATGGCATAGCAGGCAACCACTATATAAGGGAGCCCGCCAGCTGCTAGCCCTCGTGGTGTTGCAGTTGGAATTAAGTACTTAGCAGTAAAACGTTGATTGCGGATCCATTGTCTCTGGCTCCTTCTTTCCCACAACTTAATAGCTATGATAGTTCTACTTAGTACCTACTAGGTTATATGCCTCTCCCAAACTTTTCAAAACCCCTTTTAATTCAAAATTAGTTTGGAAGCCACAATGCAAACTCTCAAACCCTAGCTTTGTTTCTATGTAAAATAATATATGTGGACCCTGTGCAGTAGGAACTTTTAGAAATAATACTGATGAGTGTTGCGTTACCTTAGCGATTTTTATTTTGTTTTGCACATGCCCAGAAGTAAAAAAATGGGAAAGTTAAACCGGAATGATGGAGAGCCTGAAAAACATCTCTACTAATGAGTATATATCTTCTTCTTCTTCTTCTTTTTCTTCAGCGTTTGTCTCGCGCTCGGGCGAGGTCCGCTAATGTCCTTGAGTACTGCTTCCACACCTCTCTGTCTGCCACGTGTGTCGGGTCTGCCTTCGCGATCTCTAGATCGGCCTTGATCGTGTCCATCCAGCGTTGTTTAGGTCTACCACGCGGTCTCACTCCTCCGACAGTCACCTTCATTACAGATTTGATGATGGATTCTTCCTTGGCGCGGCTCACGTGGCCGAACCATCGTAGCCGGGACTGCCTCATGACCGTGGGGATGGGCACGACGTTGAACCGTCTACGCACTTCTTCGTTCCTGACCCGATCGAGTAGGGTGAGGCCTACCGACCATCGGAGCATTCGCATCTCCATTATCTGGAGTCTGCTTTCGGCTTCTTTGGTCGTCGGCCAGCACTCTGCGCCGTATATGGCCACGGGGCGCACCACAGAGTTATAGATTTTTGCCTTCAGGCGCATCGGCATCTTCTTGTCACAGAGGACGCCCGTGACGGACTTCCATTTGCCCCACGCTGCATTGATCCTGGCTGCCACCTCAGTTTGTAGTAGGCCTTCTTCCCCAAGAGTAGTTCCCAGGTACTTGAAGGTGGAGGCGCGTGGTAGCTCCTGCCCGTTCACGTGGATGGAGCCTGTCATTTCATTATCAGTGGTCAGGTATTCGGACTTCTTTAGGTTCAGCCGGAGCCCGAACTGCTCGAGGCGGTCGTGCCACTGTTGGACTCGGTGCTCGAGTTCAGCCTTGCACAGGTTGGCCAGGAACACATCATCGGCGTAGAGCAGCGTCCATGGGGCGGGCGTGTACAGGTCGTGTGTAATTGTGTCCATCACCAGAATGAACAGCAGTGGTGAGAGAGCAGAGCCCTGGTGTACGCCGACGGTAATATTAAACTCCTCTGATATCCCAGCTGCCGCTTTTACACGGCTTTTGTGACATCTGTATAGGAGTTGGACCCATTGTACGAGCAGCTCAGGCACGCCGTGATCTCGCAGTGCGTACCAGATGAGATCGTGCGGGACTCGGTCGAAGGCCTTTTCCAAGTCTAGGAAGGCGGTGTGGAGCGGGATTTTCTTCTCTCTGTGAGCCTCCATCAGCATCCGCACACCGAAGATGGCGTCGGTGGTGCCGCAGTTCTTGATGAATCCAGCCTGGTTGACGCTGATGTCGACGATGTCCCGAATGCGCTTATCAAGGACGCGTTCAAAGATCTTCATAGTGTGTGACAGTAACCTGACCGGTCTGTAGTTGGAGCAGTCCGCTGGGCTGCCCTTTCCCTTCCAGATCGGAACAGTGGTGCTGCGGTACCAGTCGTGTGGCACTTTTCCCGTGGAGACGATGTTGTTGAACAGCTCGCACAGCCACAATGCCGAGCCCGGTAGTGCCTTTTTCCAGAAGTCGGCAGGGATGTCGTCTGGTCCTGTTGCCTTACCGTTTTTCATGGCCTTGATGGCGTCGGCGACCTCGCTGGCATAAATGCCTGAGACTGGGCCTTCAACTGGGTCACCTCGCGGGGTTCGTGGGTGTGGGAACTCCTCGGTGGAGATCTTCTCGAAGTATTGCCGCCACCTCTCCGCAGCGTCTCTGGGGTTGACGATCAAATTTCCCCTTTCATCGTTGATCCCATGAAACTGGTCAATGTCCAGGGTCTTCCTGTGTCTGTGTTTGGCTAGGCGGTAGATCTCATTCTCGCCTTCTCGCGTGTTCAGCTTCTCGTAGATGTCATCGTAGTGGGAGCTTCTGGCTTTCGCTACTGCTTTCTTGGCTGCCTTTTTGGCCGCCTTGTATTCGCAGAGCTTCTCGCTGGTCTTGTCCTGAAGAAAGGCCTTGTAGAGCCGTTTCTTCAGGTGTACGGCATCTTGTACTTCCGGTGTCCAGAGCCATGTATCTCGTTCGATGCGTCTCCGTCCTGGCTTGGTGCAACCAAGCTGTTGGCAGCCGGCAGTGTGAACAGTGCTCTTCAGCATGGACCACGCTTCCTGTGGCCCGTCGACCATCTGCGGGAACTGCTCCGGTTTGATGAGGGGTCCCGCCATCTTCTTCTGGTTCCACCACTTGATTCGTGGCTGGTCTGCATTCCTTTTGTCAATCCTGGTCTTGGGCTTGCTGATCCTGATCTTCGCCATCAGCGGCCTGTGCTGACTGCTCGATTCGTACGGGTACACCTTGGCGTTGAGCACGTTTTTAGCGGCTCTTCGTCGTACGATGATGTAGTCGATCTGTGTGTGGTGGCTCCCGTTTCTGCTATGGTAGGTGAGGAGTTGAGATTCTCGCCTAATGAAGCAGGTATTCGTGATGGTCATATCATGGGAGTCGGCAAAGTCCAGGATCCTCTGGCCATTCTCATTCGTATCGCCTGTGCCGTGCCCACCGTGGCACTGGTGTCCGTTTTTGTCCCGCCCTACATGACCATTCAGGTCGCCCGAGATGATGATGTCGTCTTCGTGTGTCTTCGTGTATATATATATGAGTATATATGGCTGGCCATAATCCACATGACTGCCATTTTGTAAAATTGCTTACAATCTGTTATTATTGGCCAAAAATATTAAATACTTTTAACATAATGGCTAAATAGGAGCAACATGAGGATAGCAAGAAATATAGCAAGACAGTTACTTGCTTATTCTTTTTCTGAGGCTTCCTTAAACAAACCTCTGCTATAATTATATAGTTGAGAATTATTGCACAGTATCAATTTTTTTAACCAGCAAAGCCAAGGTTAATAAGGAGAACCCATATGATTGTCTACAAGAAGTAATTTGCAAACTGCTTTTGTGGAAACTTACTCAAATAGTTTAAAAGAAAAACTACTTGGGGTAGCAAGAATGACATCCCAAGTGTTTTGATTAGGCTTTAGCTCATCTGTCCTGAATCAAAAAAAAGAAAAGAGATGCTTTCATTATAGCCACTAGATTTCTGAAAACTGAATGAATAAAGCAAGCAACATTTCATTCACATCTTGTATCCTAGCAATGGGAAGGAGGATGTGCACGTTCAATTAATTTTTAAAATGCAATAGCTTAAACAAGCTTAATTTCTTTTTATAAAGCTAGGAAGTTCTTGAAGGCACGGGCTCACAATGTTTTCCCTTTTATTATCCTCCCTTCCTTCCTCCCCCACTTCTTTTCTTTCCAGCTTAACCAGGGAGAGAGTTCAAAGGTGATTTAAGTGTAAAGTTCTATCCTCATCTGTACAATCTTCAACTCCTTCCTTTCTGAACAGGTTCAGCTCTAGTTTTTCATTAACACCCTCCAAAGAAATGGATTTATAGACTCTCCAAGCAGCTAATTAGACTTCTGCATTGTTCTAAGTGGAGTGAGTGGATTGGGCCCACATTTCAGAGACATTTAAAACCCCTCTGCTGTATCTTCCTCCTCCTCCTCCTCCTCCTCCCCCCTTTCAATTCAGTCCTGTCTTTTGGGAATTGCCCTGAAAAATGCCCTGCAGGTTTCTTGGCAACATTTTTTTGGAAATGGTTTGCCATTGCCTCCGTCTTAGGGCTGAAAGAGAGTTACTGGCCCAAGATCACCCAGCTGGTTTTATGCCTGAGGTGGAACTAGAACCTACAGTCTCAGAGTCTTTAGCTGGTGCCTTTAACTGCTACATCACACTGATT